TGGAATTTTCTCCGTAACCATTAGGCGCATAATAACGCTTCAATATACTAAATTATTTGTTTTTTAAGCTCCACAAAATGGTTTGGAAAGAAATTGCTAAATTTTCTGTTTTTTTGGGTCAAAATGAAAAAAAACCTATTTTTACCCCATAAAACCCCCCGTAAACCCCCGTTCCCATGGTCCGATCATGCTGGATCGCGAACTTGTTCGAATAAACGTACGTTTACACGTTTGTACCAAATTTCATCAAAATCGGATCATTTTTGCTCGAGTTATCGTGCTGACGGACATATATATATATGAATTTGAACGGATGGTGTTTTTGGCCTCTAGGGACCTCAAAACGAAAAAAAATCGGTCCCGCGTCCAGGTCTTACCATGAGTACTACGATGAGTACTATGGTAATAGCTTATTCCCTATATGGGAAAGACCTTGAAATATAGTTTATTAGCCTGACTAGTGGTAGACAGGATTGCAATCAGGGAAGACGAAAAGAGTTTCTGCAATGCAACAACTGACACCATCACATTAACCTGCACCTGAGGTCAAGTGGCCCAACCCTAATTTATTTTAACATGTAAGAGATAAGACTCATGATTTTTATGAGTATTGAAATTAGTTAAAAAGCAGAGTGGTTGGTTACAGGCAATGGTAATCCTGGAAATTTTATTGGTATACTACGAAACTCTGCTGAGAATTGTTTAATATATGAAATTTAGTAGTAGGTAACTATAATAATATGATGCATACATCAAGCAAGATGTATTATTTAGCCTGATCCTTGTCCAGACCAATATGTTGACTCTTGACTATACAAGTCTTCTTTACAGTTTTACATAAACAACTGACTAATGCCATAACTTAATATTTACAAAACAAATACTGTACTAACAGATAATTCTTGCACTACTCTACTACTCATTTTTTATAGCCTAAACCTTTTATAGCCTTTTTTTCCAACCTTAATTTTTAAAATCAATTAAAAAAACAAAATATTTTGTATATTGAAATATTGTTGTAAAATTAAGGGTTACAGAAAAATCCCCCAAAACTATACTGTATGTAGATTAAAAATTCCCCAGGTTCACTTACTTATTTATTTTTATTTTATTTTATTTCATTCCATTCCAATGCTTCAAAACAGGTGTAACCCAATTACATTGCAGCATTAATATATAACAAAATATTCCTTGACATGCATGATAAATAATCAGGGCCGGACTTACCTATGGGCGAAGGGGGCGAGCGCCCGGGGCCCCCGGGCCAAGGGGGGCCCCGACAGGGGCCCCCTTGCACAGTAGTTTTTATTAATAACTTTGAAAATTGATCAGACACTTACCACATGGCCTTCTTTTGTAACAGCTTTATTTTTATTTTCGTTATCCTATATTTTAGGTTATTGTTAGGTGCATTTTAAGGCATTACTAGGAACAAAATTCTTGACCCTAAGGGACTTTTCCTCAGAGTTGCACTGGGCCCCACGCTTAGGCCTGGTTTACACGAGCATATGTGCTAGGCTGTGACGGACAAGTTTCAGTTACGAAGCCGCTCGCCCGAACGTACGGCCGCGGCGAATGAGTTGAAGGGGCCCCGCGCTTGGGGCAAAAATACAATAAATATGAAAACTCTTGTCCCAACGTAGAACGTAACTTGTAAAATTGTGTTGTGTTAAATGGAGATTCACTGGAGTTCAAATACTTTTAAAAATAAAAACATTGCTCCGCTTATGTTTTATTAAATGTTATTCTTTTCTTTTACCTCTAAGTAGGCCTATATACCAATCAGGATTTTAAGGAGTAGAAGTATATTATCCATTCAATTTAAAGGTTTTGTAAAATAGTATTTAATTAAGTTATGCGTCAAAATTTTTATCTCTAATTTAGTCTTTGGAGTCAAAATCATACAGCGCCAGTAAGATTTTTAAAATCTATATAGACACTTTAAAACAACTAGAGTCGTCTGACTGATGTTAACAAAAAATTACATTTATTGGGAGTGGGCGAGCATTGTCGACTGAAATCGTAAACAAGCGATAAGCAGCTGCAACAATAAATAATAATGAGCTGATAAGGGATCCTGTGTAGTCCTGTCTGTCTCACGCACGCGCATACACACACATAAAATGCCTTATCGCCTATCCAAAACAATTTAAATCACTTTACTCCCATAGTTTGTCCTTTGAAACTAGTGGTCACGTCAAGTTGGTTGAAATTGTCTTAATTTTGTGTTATTTTATTGTAATTCTGCAAACTAACAGTACAAAAACAAAGCTGAAGTGAGTAATGCTGTATTCAATGCGATGTTTGTGTTGTATTAATCGATATTGGATCAATTTAAACATCTTTCAGTTACTCATATAAATAGTTAGCTTGTGAGTGTTTATTAGACATTGCAAGATTTTGCTCGTCAATAAAAAACTCAAACTTGAAAGTCCTCAATGGTACTTTTCATGCTAGGACTTTAACATATTATAAAAACGAGAATGCCATATGTACCAAAACCATTATGAAAATAAAATAATCACACCTATATTGTAGTAATATTGAAAAATCATACAAATTGACGGCAATAATCGATAATTTAAATACGTAATAAACAAAAATATATCAATACTTCTAATCTAAATATATTATGGTAGCCTACCACGCTACCATACCAAATATGCCGACACTGGTACTACAAAGCAATTGAAACATTTGGTCAGAGTTTGTTTAAATAGTGAATGCAAGAGATTAGGTTTCAAACATTTTTATTTTTTGTGTATATAATTAAAAGATGCTGTATATAAAAATATTTATATTTTAAGAACGATTTTTGATATAGAACTTATTGCTTATTTGGCCTTAAATTGCTCTATTTGAAGCCTAAATTTAGAAAATTTTCCCGGAGGAGGACCCCCCTTTGGCTTGGGGGGTATTCCATGCCCCCCAATCCCCCCGGAAGACCCCCCAAACTGAAATCCTAGGGCCCCATTGGAAAATTTGCCCGGGGCCCCTGAAGTCCTAAGTCCGGCCCTGTAAATAATTAAATATAGACCTATAAATGGATGTTGATCATACCATACTCTTTTTGATCAACAAACACTTTTTCCCTTTCCCGTAGCAGCCTAAGAGCTTGTTACATCTAATGTTATTTAAATGTAACTGGTTTATAGGAATAGTTGACTTAAAATCCTAACTTACTAATTGGAATTTGCTTAGTCTGCAGGTTTGCTGCAGTGTGGATATTTTACAACCAAAAAATATCAAAATTGACCTGGAAATAAGATAAACAAAATTATGTCAACACTAGTGTTCAGTTTCGCTAACATAATAAATATTATACTTAATAATATTTTAGCACATAAAGTACCTGCACATAAGAGCAGTATTCAATCAAATAGATTAATTCAATAAAATTGTTATTTGTATTGTTTTGTTGTAACATATTTCCTATACTTTCTCCAGTTTCTTGAGGTCTTGGACTTTGGTGGGGTAAACAGGTTCAATCAGTGCTATATCCACAAAAATTTGAGGGTTTGGAATACTTTTCATAAAAGCCATTGAGTAACTTTATAAATAATTTTATAAATAATTATAATAAACTTATAATAACTTATAATAACTTATAAAAAACTTATAATACACTTATAATAAACTTTATAAATAATAATATAATGACACTTTCAAGTATTTATATTTTTAATAATTTAGTCTATGTTAAACAAAACATTACAAATTTTACTAAATGTCACTCAATACATAACCACTCAACTAGACAATCAAACAACCTGTACATCCCACCAGTTAGACTTTCAAAATTCACAAAAAGCCATAAATATTTACAATTACAACTTTTTAATAAACTTCCCATTCTATTTAGAGAAATTGAAATTGATAACATAAACCTTTTCAAATCAACATTATCAAGATGGCTAATTAGCAAAGCCTTTTTTCTATAGACAATTTTTTAAACACAAATGATTACCTACTCTGAACTCTTAACACTATTGGCCATTACGAGGCAGCCTGCATGACCAAAAATCTTTTACAAATTTCCTGAATATTTACAAATTGTTTAGTTTTGAAGTACTATTTACTTAAGTTTTTTATAAATTTGTGTAAGAGCATTCAATCTTAGAATTTTAAATTTAAATATTAGGCCTGTATGTACAGTTTATGTAACAAAATGTTCAATGTTTCATAAGATGATATAGATTTAAGCATGATGTCATATTTGTTTCTGACGTTGTCTATTGTAATTTTATGTTGCTGAATGAAAATAAAGATTATTATTATTATTATAACTTTCATACAAAATGTTGTAGACAAGAAAGTTTGGGTGAGTCGGTTGCTCAGTCGGTAGCGCCTTGAACTTTGGGCTCAAGACAGCAATCGGTTCAGATCCTGGTACCTGAAGCAACTTTTTATCAGTACAATTATTATCAATTATTTAAGATGGGGACGCCACTATGTGCGTATTTTAACCCAAATATGTGTGAAGGATGAGTGTAGAATGAGTGGCGCGATCTTGTAGTCTTGTTAGTGACTAAGGCCGACATATTCCTTAGACACAGCTGTTAATTAATAGCCCATACAGCTAATGGCAACTAAGGGACCGTCAGTTTATAGTGGAATCCGAACCACATTTTTCCTTGTAATTAGAGAATTGGTCTAATTATCAGGATAGTACTGCAGATAGTCGTAGTACTCACTAGTGTGGACGTTAATCCACACCAGGGAGCATCGCATTCACAGTGCATGCCTCTAAATATACCACAATTCGTGACCTCATAGTAGCTGGATTACAGGACGACACCACCTGTCCCAGTCACTTCACCTGTGAACTGTACTGGCTCACTCCTTGCTTTGCTCGAACCGTCCCACACACTAGCCTCTGTGACCCATGTGGACATGCAAATGCAAGGAAAAGAGGCTGCCAACCTAAAAAAAATATTAATCTAAATTTATATTTTAAAAAAATGCATAAGGTTATATCAGTTGTCTTCTCTTTGTTACAGGCGGCTTTCTACGAAATACTAAATGGTCTCTGGGTTCGAAACGGACTGCAGATTAAAGGACAAGCTATGACCTACATCCAGTGTAACTTCTGCAACTCCATGGTCGACGCAGACATGTATCTTCTGCAGATCTGCGCGACACAGATCCCCGCAGACACGTACATACAGACTGTGATTGACAAGTAAGTGACATTGTGGGATTGAATCTTATATAGCTTGTAAAAGGTTCTAAAGAGATGTTTTAATTAAAATTAAATAAAGTAAATACATGGTATAATGCTAATTGCAGGGTATTGTCAGGGTATAATTTTAGACAGAACACCGTGGAAAAGTGTTTAAATTTTAAATTGTCCTCTCCTGAAGAGAATACACTTAAAAAATGTTAACGTCTTTTTAGAAAATTTTTTTCTAAAATAGTTTTTTTTTTAAGTGTGTTGTACTTAAAATGTTGAAATTCATAAAATGTTATTAATTTCTTTATTGATTTTTTTGTTGTATTTCTGATACTTATATTTTTATTAATCGAAAAGCGGTTATAATATGACGAAAAGAATACAATTTTATACGGATTAGTTATCAGTTTTCCTTGTTAGGATTAAAGCAGTTGGTAAATGGTGATCTTCTAGTCAAATAAGTGTTTTTCAAAAAAATATTTGTAGTTCTACGATTAAATATTGAGCTACCAACTCATAATTAATTAGTATATAACATTAATGCATGTAAATTAAGCTCAGAAAGTAACACTAATTTAGTGGTCTCTATGTATTAAGTTTCCCAGTTGTATGTGTTACCCTCAACCGGATTAAACAATGTAATTTTGAATATAAAAAAAAAATTATCTATTTGCAACGTACCCACTCAACCATTAACACCTACTGAGTATTTTGTCAACCACAATATACCAGGATTGAGCCATGAATTTTTTGATTAAAATTTTTAAAAAACAGAGTGGATAGTTCTGCTTTTTGATTCCTCAAAACTTGCAATGCCAGTAGCTTTGGGGAGTCCTTACACTGCTCCATTTGAGAGCTACAACGCTGCCTAAACTGTGTCTGTACCCTGCGTAAGCCTCCAGTTACCAATCAACGCTTCAGACAATAAGTAAACTTGACTGTGAATTCTATTCTCAAGATTGAGTGGGGACTTCTTACTGTCTCGTATCTACCACATACAAGTGTCTACATGTGATGGTGTGTTGTAGGTTCCACATCAAGGAGTGGCTCAGTTTTGTGTCCAGTCCAATGAGTGACACCAACACAGCAGATTCTGAGTCCGAGACACCAATGCTGGAGAGCTGCCTTACGTTTCTGGCGTCACTCATCAGCCTAAGAACAAACCTAGGTAAGTTAAGTGTTAGAGCGAACCTAAGTTTTACCAAGACAATGAACAAGCCTAAGTAAGCCTTATTAAGTGTAAGTAATATTAAATTATCACCAATTAAAATGGGGACGCCACCTCTATAGGTGCGTATTTGATGTGAAGACAATGTTATGTAATTATCAAGACTTGAAACCAAACAAATTGTAAGATGAATGGAACTAGGTAATTGAAAGAACTAACCTAGGTAAGTCTAAGAAACATCCAAGAAATAATAAGTGTAAGAATCGACTTAGGCTACTGGGTATGTTTGATAAAGTCTAAGAGCCAAAATGTATGTTTTAATGTGTTGTTTTCAGTTTTTAATACTTGGTAAGCACTTTCCCTGTAACATCAATACAGATATGCCATTGGTATTACATATTGTGAACTACAGTCTTCAGTATTTTGAAGTCATGAAGTCACACATTTACCTTCAGTAAACTCATAATTCTCTAATACAATGTCAATAACAACAATAGGAACAAAATCGTAGTTTGAGGCTAAGTTTGAGGTTTACTAAGGGTTGTTGTGGTTGTTGCAGGAGCCAAACCGTGCGCATTGTCACAGCTGGAGATGGTGACACTGCTGTGTATGTGTGACAAAACTCACAGTCAGCTGATGGAGTTGATGCCAGAGAGATGTGGCACTGCGCAGAGCCGTGACTTTGAATCTGTACTGCAGGAGGTTAGTGTAGACTTTAATACATCCTTTCTTGCAGAATGTGCCAAATTTAACACGTTGACTGCGCGCACCGACTTTACAGGCGCTCCCCAGTGGCGGGCGAAGCCCCGGCGCGCAACCGAATCAGCGAACGCAATTGGCATTCAAATATTTCAGTCTGACGAATCACAAAAGAGCAGTGGTGACTGTGCTGCGTTACCCCGAGAGTGGATGTAGTTCACTGAAACACCCAAAGGTAGCAGCACTGCACGGATCCGTATCCAGTGTCTTTGTAATGTGGGTTGAAGAGAAAAAATCCCCAAAACCGGGACAAAAGCATTGCCAGACAGGACTTTACGGGAAATTTTAGTACCAACCTACACCAAAGTAAAGCTCGCATTCTAAGCTGGCAGGCTAGCAACGATTATAACGTCTCCGTCTGAGGCTAAGCTCACACTGACTCAATATATAGTCCAGGAGCTGAGGGGGGTTGAGCATGCATGAAAGTAGTACGCAATGTTATTGCTGATTATTGTAATATGGACTGTGGTGATCAAAATTACGTATGTTGCCTATTTCAAAAGTGGTCGATAAGGTGGGGGGGAGGGGGCAAACATGGCGGTTTGCGCTATGCGTTAAAACGCTGATAGTTCGAAAACGGTAAAAGATAGAACATCGGTTAAAACGTCGTTGTAATCCTAAACATGTGGACAACAATAATGGTCATTGGGTCCGAGGTCGTATCTCTATAAATAAACAAGTTATTGTATAAAATATGTAAAAATGGACTTTTCATGTAGATTTTTTACCGAAAGTAGAATTAATTTGTGAGTGTCGCAAAGAAGTAATATCAAATATCTTTGCTGATAGTTGTAATATGGACTGTGGTGATACAAAATACGCATGTCGCTTACTTTTCAGGTGGTCGAGAACTTGGGGGGAGGGGGGCAAAGATGGCGGAACGCGCTATACATCGAAATGACTGTAGCTCGAGAACGGTACGAGATAGGACATCGGTTAAAACGTAGTTTTAATTCAAAAAATATTACCAATAGAAAAGGTCATTGGGTAAAAAGTCGTATCTTAACTAATAAAAAAGTTATAACAATAATAAGTTTAACAAAATCTACATTGTACAGCTATTTTTTTCAAAAATCGTATGGATTGTTGATAAATAATAGTGTAATTACTTAATTACTTGGCTAAATATTAACTAGATGCATTTTCTTATAAGAAAAAAATATATTATTACGAATACATATGGTTTAAAATGTAAAACACGGCCTCCAAACGCCTTGGGGTTCGTCCGTTAGGTTGCGTTATAATTGCTGCTGTTTTTAAAATAATGATTGCTTGTATTTTGTATTTCATTATACACTGAGTATATAAATGAAATAATGATAAATAAATAATCAAACAAATAAGATAATAATTAAATATGAAATATAATATATAGTAGTTTAATTCCATTGTAAATATAAACACCATAAACTTTAAATTTCTTGACCGCTCTCATGCATTAATTATATATAGATGTATATACATTTGTATCAAAGAAAATATTTACAATTTTTTATTTGTATTACAGGTGCTAAGAGAAATTAAAAAGGTACCTAGTTAAATTCAACAAATAATATGAACAACCAGTGTAATTGTTATGGATAGAATGAAGAGATTTGCCGTATTTTTTATTATAAGGTATTTACTTTTGTAGTAATGTTTTTTTTTTCATATAACTGTATTAAATAAGAATCTGTTACATAATCATATTGTAATAACCTACAACATTATAATAATTAAAATTGGATTTGTAGTGGTAGTCTGTATTATGCTATTGATTGCGGCGAAACCCCAAGTATTATATGTAGTTTGGAGGCCGTGTTTTACATTTTAAACCATATTTATTCGTAATAATATATTTTTTTCTTATAAGAAAATGCATCTAGTTAATATTTAGCCGAGTAATTAAGTAATTACACTATTATTTATCAACAATCCATACGATTTTCGAAAAAAATAGCTGTACGATGTAGATTTTGTTAAACTTATTATTGTTATAACTTTTTTATTAGTTAAGATACGACTTTTTACCCAATGACCTTTTCTATTGGTAATATTTTTTGGATTAAAACTACGTTTTAACCGATGTCCTATCTCGTACCGTTCTCGAGCTACAGTCATTTCGATGTATAGCGCGTTCCGCCATCTTTGCCCCCCTCCCCCAAGTTCTCGACCACCTGAAAAGTAGGCGACATTCGTATTTTGTATCACCACAGTCCATATTACAACTATCAGCAAAGATATTTGATATTACTTCTTTGCGACACTCACAAATTAATTCTACTTTCGGTAAAAAATCTACACGAAAAGTCCATTTTTACATATTTTATACAATAACTTGTTTATTTATAGAGATACGACCTCGGACTCAATGACCATTATTGTTGTCCACATGTTTAGGATTACAACGACGTTTTAACCGATGTTCTATCTTTTACCGTTTTCGAACTATCAGCGTTTTAACGCATAGCGCAAACCGCCATGTTTGCCCCCTCCCCCCCACCTTATCGACCACTTTTGAAATAGGCGACATACGTAATTTTGATCACCACAGTCCATATTACAATAATCAGCAATAACATTGCGTACTACTTTCATGCATGCTCAACCCCCCTCAGCTCCTGGACTAATATTTCTGTTGGCCTGGTGCCGACTTTAGTCGGCGCGCGCCACCTGGGAGCGCTGGCGACGCCGACTAAAGTCGGCACGCGCGGTCAACGTGTTAAAATAAACAACCATTGATACATGTGGACAAAAAAAAAAATTTGTCATGCATTTATAATTTGAACCGTATAAAATATTTGCACGTAATATGTTTGAATAAAATTTTATCTGAATTTTGATAGGGTCTAGCACCCTCCAGATTGAAGTTTCCAGAAGAGCTCAGCTATTGGTTGATCAAGAACTTAAAACAATTACATTCAGAACAAATAACTTGTGTATTTTTTGTTTGTGAGCAATAAATTGCAGTTTTCAATCCCTTACACTTGTTTTTTATTGTTGTGCAGGTCGCAGACTACAAAGCGCCCAACCTGGAGGCTAGTGGTAACATGCAGCAAGGCATGTACGTACCCAAGGCCAAAGTGTGGGAGCAGCTGTATGATCCTATACATGTACTGTTGAGAGCCGTACACCGCCGGGACTTCCAGAACTCCATGGACAGATTCTCTGAGTAGTAAGTGCACCTTCTCTATTTTATTTGTACTTAATATTTGGATTTGTAACATAGGATTAGCAGTCTATTTGACTGTACTGGGTGAAACGGCAATTGTAAGTGAGTTTGTGGGACCAGAGAAAAGTGTGTGAGTTTTGTTGTGGGGAAATTTAGGATGGTCGTCAGATACCTTGTGGCATTTTGTTGTTAAATTATGGCATTTTGTGATGTTTGGTGTTAACAGATTTTAAAGTCAATTTCAGATTTTGAGTCAAGTTAAAATTATGTAAATAATACAGTAGAGTCCCGTTAGTCCGAAATGGTTGGGACCGGGCCCATTTCGGATTACCAAATATTTCGGATCAAACGTTTTTTTTGTTTTTTTTATTTTTTTTTTATTTTTTGAAATTTTTTTTGTCTTACTTCTTACTACTTTTTTTCGGACGCAGGCACAAGCCCGGGATTGTTTTTTCACATTACTTAAGGCTAGACCTATTGGCTGCAGCATTATCACGATAAAATCCATTTATGATTTGGCGGACAAAAATGTAAAATGTTACAGTAATAACAAAAATCGTAAAATTTTACTAAAATACTCTACAAAAAAAGTTTATCTCGCCCAGCCACTACAGAATACTTTGACGAGGTACAGCTAACTGTGTCAAAAGTTTGATAAAAAAATTTCAAAAAATTTCCAAAAAATATCAAAAAATTTCAAAAAAAATTTCAAAAAATATATATTTTTTGGTTTTGGATTAAGCGTACTTTCGGATTACCGAAGTTCGGATTATCGGGACTCCACTGTAGTGGGATTTAAATTTTGTCCTAGATTGAATATGTTTTCTCAGTTAAGACAAATTTAATTGTGGGCTAAAATGTGAATAAACTTAACTCAAACACAATGTTGTATGACAGTGCGCAGCAGATCGGACGCATCAGACACGGTACGACCGCCTGGCCACCATTCCGCACGCCGTGGCCGGTACACCCGGCGTACCAGGACCCACGCAAGGTGTTGCGCACCAAGGTGTTCCACGCGCTGGTGTGGACGGTGCTGTACAAGGCTACAATGGAGCATACAGTCAGTGAACATGTCACTGCCATCTTGATATATCTGCTGGAGCAAGCCATCGCCATCGATGACCCTCAAGATCAGGTGACTTAAAAAAATTGTTGTGTGTTTATTTGTTTTTAATTTGCAAAAATGTATGTGTAGCCTAATCACAAATTCAAAACTACTTACAGTCAATGACTCAGCCATATTACCAGATATTTAAAGTTAGTTCTGTCCAATGCCAAGGAATGTGTTTTTGTTTACAATTTGTTTTTCGATCTTTCAGCAATTGAAAGCATTGTTTAGCTAAATAAAACATCTGTCTTAAATAATAGCTTGTCTCTTGGCTATATAACCAAAAAAGTAAAACACTTTATAAAATTAACCTTAAAATATTCGAACAAAATTTTGTCGACTCTAGTCCCTGTGTCACCAACATGAGCTGGACATGAAAAACACGCTTCGGATTGAGATTTTCCAATGAGATGAATCTACTTGTTGATGTTGATTAATCTATGTATGATATTACTTACTACATTTCACATATCTTTGTATCTTTCCACATCTTCACATATCTTTCCATTATATCTTTGTTTTGATATTCCTCTCCTTCTCTCTAGCTTTTGTCAAATCTATCTTTTAAATTTCTTAAGGTAAGTAGTTCCATAACAAACAAACCATCCAGTGTCATGATGCTCAACCTGTGGTAGATAAGAAGTAAAATAGCTTGTGATTTTCAACATTAAATTAATTTTCTTTTCAAACAAACTAAAACTGTACATCTGATAAATTTATCTAGTCCATCTTGCCTTGATATCTAGTTACAACGTGTATGTTTGCAGTTGTGCCCGACAACGGTGAGTTCGCCTCAATCGAGACACGTCAGGGATACGGACCTCGGTAACTGGTTTGAGACGGACTGGCTCTCTTGCAACCTCCGTACTGTGATCCAGTCAATCACTCTGCCGGAGCCCATCTTTGTCTGTGACAGTGATAGTAAGTGTCTACGTGTTTATCATGTTTAGTAAGAGTTTTGTTGATGTCAAGAGTTCAGGTGTATTAATAATCGTGTTTAGTGTGTAGTGTTTATTTTTTTATGTAAACTGTGCCAGTACAAGTAATTGTTTGGTTGAGATATGTTATAGTAGAGTCTTGAATATCCGATCGTCAGTCACCTTTTGTTTTACCAACCCGCCTTGTGGACAATTGAGTTCCATGAACCACAAGTTACTTTGTTTAGTATGACTGTACAGCGTCGCGAGGGCATCAACCCATGTTTAAAAAAAATTGTATACTAGTAAGAAAGTTTATTTATTTTACAATATTTTACCTGTGGTCACGTAAAAATCATCTCCTGCGATCTTGGCAAAATTGTGGAAGTCTACCGTGGTCAAATCGACATCATTTCCAGGGTCTTGGAGTAAAACGTGAATTTTTTGATTTCACAATTTTTGCAAACCTGCAGTTGTGATTGTAAACGTCGGCTCGAGCTCAATTTTCTGATTTAGCGTTTGGCCTCTCGAGATTGTAGGCGAGAATCGCATGACTTTAAAATCGAGCCTCAATAGATATGTATAGCTTTTAATAAGACCTAAGGTCAGATATCCTAAAGAGTCAGTTACGCCAATATTGGATAAGAGGGGTTCTACTGTTTGTAACAATGACCTCAAAACAAGTAAATGAGTGGTTTTAATGGAAGGAAAATTTAAAGCCTTTTTAAATATTAATATTATTTATAATATTTATTATTTATAATATTATTAAATATTATTTAAATATTAGACCTATATGTACAGTTTATGCAACAAAATTTTCAATGCTTCGTAGGATGATATAGATTTAAGCATGATGTCATATTTGTGTCCTGACTTCTGACGTCGTCTAGTGTAATTTTATGTTGCTGAATGACAATAAAGATTATTATTATTATTAAAGCTACAAGATTTGAAAATAATTTTCACAACAGTTATAGTTATTATTTTTTGTGTTATCAGGCCTTTCTTGCTTGTGTTGGTCTAGGTTGGATTATTGAGACTATAGTGTACGTGTAATATTGTAGGTGACAGCGAGTGGGTGCAGGTAAGAAGTGGTACTCCAACTGGTCTGCCTCAAGTGCCCAGCATGCCAGCCCTGCTGCCTGCCAACGATGACCCACAATCCCAGTCGATGGCTTTGGTGCCTCACACACACAGTCAGGCTGCTATTGGTAAGATTGTTGATGATTAGTGCAATTCAAAGGGTTATTCAAAACGATAAGAAGTTATTCGACAATGTTACTTGAAACTGGGGAAGGTTTAGCTGTAATGTTCCCATAGGAATGTTGGTATACCCTGTCTCAGGTTTGGTTGGGACCATTTTATAAATCAATTAGTTTTAAAATTATCTATTATCTTTTCACTTGCAAGTGCATTATCCTTTGAGATGTGACTGATGGGATATCCATTGAGGAATGACTTGCAGACTCCTAGCCATTGTCTCTTTCCTCTTCTACACTTTGAGTCAGATAGCGTGCGTGAACTTGGTAGCACAAGATGGATTGAAATAGTTCTAAAAATATGCAGTTTTTCATCTGAGGCATGGAGTCAACAAATGTTGTGGATGCCAAAGATAAGATTACCTAAATTTTCCACTTTCTAGGTTTGTTAGAAAAAATGTAATACAAAATTTGTGAATTTCTTCTTGGATGACCCAGTATTTTTTTCAAACATTAAATACTCAAGAAACGTACGTTTTACCATCTACAGAATGTTTTGTCTCCGAGTTAAAATGTCGGTTAGTAGTATTTTCTCAACATCACCTGTGTAACTGTGGTGGTCTTTAACAGAAGGGTCTGAGCCAATGGAAGCACTGCCTCCGTCCACCCAGCCACTAGCAGTGACTGCTGGCAATGAGATGATCTCTGCTAGCAGCTTCCAACACCAGCCGTCCAGTAGCAGCGGTAGTAGCAACAGCCTCAGTCAGATGATCAACTTCCGTCGTCAACCTGGAAGTCAATGTTTACGAGCACTGCCGGGCCCGAGCTCCAGTGGTACCTCGTCCACTACGGTCGTTCAGCTCTCCAAGAGGTCACACAGCGATCGATCGGTTGGTGCTTTTTCCGCTCTAATTAGTTTTATGTTTAATTTAATCACTTCACTAAGTCAATTATGTATTTTGTGTAGTAATTTGAGCTGTGCAGAGTGAGTGTAGAATGGAGTGTATGAAGATTTTTACTGACTAGACATCACCTTTTTCTTTAGCCAAGGATCACGAACCTGGCATGATCTTGCAGACTCGTACTGCAATCGTAAAAGCTCAACTAAAGCACAATTTTCTACGTTGGCGTTTCATTTGAGTTTGCAGCTAAGCTCAGCTCGGCTCAAAAAGCAAGCCACTTGCACAACTCTAATATTTACGTTATATTATCTCTCTTTTTATTCAAATTTTATTTTTATTTTATAAATAATCTCATTTATGTTATAAAATACAATAATAATGCTATTAGGCCTATCCTGTTACTATTAGTTCTATTACGAGCTATTCTTTGACGTAACAGGTCTTGAGTGTTAAAGCAACAAGGTAGTGGTACTGGAAATAGCAGTATAATTAATGTGAACTTAAAACTTGGCTGCTTCAACAACAATTGCTTATTCTTCCCTTTGTGTTGATGTGGCAGAAACAACCAGACTTCTCCGTAGAGCTGCCCAGTCCAGAGCGAAGTATAGAAGCCAATGAGAGCATCATCTCACTTCTACTGAAGCTTCACTCCCACCTCTCCGGTGCTCCGGACTCCTTCAATCCAGATGAGCTGGAGGTGGACCGGGACTCTCGGATAGGCGACGGTGCCTTCTTTGTAGGAAAAGTGCTCCGAAGAATTATGGAAATTGACTCATTTTGTCGGTAAGATTATGCCAGATGAAACTCTAAACCTACTACAGAGTACCATTCTATTTTTAAATAAACAGTCTATCCTCGTTATTTTGTGCAATGTATATCTACTAGCAAACTATTATATGTTTATTAGCTGTAAACTGGAATTTGCATTACTAATGGATTCAGTACTGTATGTATGCAGTTGTATCTAAAGTCTTTTGTAAGTTTGTAAAGCTGAGAAGTATGCCATTACTAACAAAATGTTAATGTTTTCAGAGATAATGTTGTGCAGACGAGAGAGAGGTTATGGCCTCGGCAGCCAGAAGAAGGGGAAGCAGAAAGGAGAGAAAGAGAGGAAAAAGAGAGAGCAGAACGAAGAAGAAAAGCGAAAGAAAGACAACAAAAACTTATGGAGGAATTTGCCTCCAAACAGAAGCAGTTTATGGAGAAAGCGATGGAAACCGGTAGGTTTTTGGCATCCTTGATTAAATTAAGACATGACTTTTCCATTCAATCAATAAAAATTGTGAAACAAATTTTCATCAAAAAACTGATGTATTTGATCAAGTAAAATCAAAAATGCAACACTTCATTTTTAGTGGTTCAAGTTCAACATGTGTTTTTTGGGCTGTTCCTATTTTTCCATTTAATTACATGTGTCGGGGATGATTACCATAAAATTCAGCCATATGTTCAATGATACTGTTTCTGAGTGTTTGGTCTGACTGGTTCCAGAAGACGAAGCACTAGGCATGGACTGGGACGGAGCTGAGCAAGTGTTGACCACCAAGAAGGAGTATGATTGTGTTATCTGCAGCCAGACTTCTCCGAGCACTGATGAGAAGCCTATGGGATTGGCTGTGTTGGTGCAGGTCAGTAATGTGTTGTTTTTCAGCTGTTTACTGTATTATTTGCTATAGTAAATAGATGCTAACAGGCTCAAGCAGCATCAAGTAAAAGACTAGTTCAAAATAAATTCAACAATCTAAGGATACATTCTAAAAATGTCTCCTCAAGATCTAAATCGAAGGAAGCAAATGTCACTCTACGGTTCTTCATTTGTGTTGTGCTGACTGTCCAATTCTCCTGCAGTTAGACCTTAGATAGCATTAGACAGCCTTAGACTTTGTCATTTATAGTTTGAATTTAAACTTCCAATAATTAATTACACATTCCTACAAAGAAACAATTGAGTAAAGTACACTGCTTGTAAAGTTCGTTCCACCTACTTGTGCAACAAGGACATGTATCAAGAAAATACTCCGACCTTGAAAATAATCTTAATCTCATGACAAAATCCAACCACCTACAGAAGCAAAAACGTCTTCCTTCACCTACTGTAGCATTTACAGTAGCATTGGGAATTAATAAGGATAAATGTTTTCAGTTTTTTACACTATTTCAGTGAAATAAAAGCTTTACTCTTTAATTTCAATTCCATAGACTTTAAAAAAAACCAAGAACCTTACTGTTATCTGTTAAAAAAGAAATGTTATAGATTAAGTCGATCAACACTTAAGTTCATTTTTCAACATGAACTTAAATATACATTATATTGATTTGAAAGTTTAAATGAATGGATTAATGGACTTTTACTAATGACGTTTTCTTGGTAGGCTACAAGTGTGCTGGGACACAAGAGACGAAGTGCAGATCCTGCAGTGCTACCCACATCAGACGAAGAGAGGCAGGCGTTCCAACAGACTGGCAAACTCAGTTTGGCTGCTGACTTCGACCGGAAGATTGAAGAGCTTGACCGCGAGTTTGACCAGGTACAGAATTTATTCAGTTTTATTAGGAGGAACAGGAAAATACAGATAAGGCTTTCTTTACTCTGGAGTTTAATAGCTTACTCTCCGATGTTAAATGCAATTGGAATCACAAGCTTAAACGTTAATTCATTGGTGCTCTCACCCTAATCCTAATGTCTAGCTGTTGATTATGCTGTCAGATTGTCTGAGTGATGTTACTGATGTGCTTGTGTGTTTCAGTTGTCCTGGCTAGTGTCTGTCAACCTAGGCTGGGAGGGAGGCGTCCATGTACAAACTTGTGGACATCATTTACATCTCGACTGTCTCAAGGCTTATCTGCGCTCTCTGCGTAACCAACAGAGGCTCTCCTCTGAACGGTAACTGTCTAGTGAAAGTGATTACAGTAGAGTTATGATTGTTCAATCTTTGGTTATCTGACTTTCCGTGTAAGTCATTACAAGGTATTTCCGCGTGACATGGCTACCTGTACAATATAGAAATTAAATCAATGGAAGATACGTTTCAGGCTTTAAACACCTGCATTTGACACCTGCTTTGCCCATTACATACTGTCATAGATTTAAATACCACACTGTTTGTCAATTTCATATGTCTGCATACATTTCTATTATCGTCTGGTTTCTGTGTGATCGGAGCCGTAGTTTAGTGGTTGGTTATTTATAGCTAATACATGTATTTTACTGTTACAGCAGTAGTTTTTTTTTCTCTCAGGGGTTATATTTTTAAAGTTCCAAGTGTTTTATTTAATATAATTTTGTTGTATTAATCCGACCTAAATTCGATTTTATGGAATCCATTAAGACCTTTCTTGTTTCCAACCCTGCTAAAAAAGAATAAAACATGGGAAATTCAAATTCAAAATACAATATCTTACGAAAGTAGCAAAAGAAGCCAATTGTTCAAATGCAGATCCTATAGGGTGATAGATAATTAAAATACCAGGTGTATTTGGAGGAAGTTTTTTTTTTCAATCAAACAAACTGCCTTTATTCTTGAGTGCTTCTCAGTCCAAAGATTTTACAGATTTACAGTTTACATATTTACTCACGTCAAACAAGAACTAAAACTAAAATCTACAACCAAGAAGAACATTAATACCTTGATGAATTGATTTAGTCGCTGTATGATTTAATTTAAAACGTGTAAGTTAATCAAGCCTAACATTTAAATCTGTTTACAGAGGAGAGTACTCGTGTCCGCTGTGTCGAAGGCTAGCCAATTCAGTGCTACCACTACCGCCACAGCTGGGAGAGTGTGCGGCCGTCGTCCGCTCCAGGCCGGTCACGCTCAACGCAACCATCACTGAGCTGGTCAAGTTCCTCAAAGAGAATCCGCCCACTAACTCGGTATGTACAGAACAGCTGTAATAGAGTAGTAGATTTCACATTCCAGTGTTGAAGTTAGTTTTTGATGCTTTTAGAATGAAAGTGGAAGTATTTAAATTAAACCACCAACAAAGCTGTTTTTATTTATTTAATTAGTTACTCATTTCTATCAAATACTATTATTTTTTAACTAAAACTTGAAAATGAAACGACTTATTGTGAACAAAGCATGTTTAAGCCACGTTTAAACGAGGCCAGTAGGCAATGTTACGGGGCAGGTTACTTGCCTCTAATGTATTTCAAGTTTCCTGAGGCAGGTTGCCTACCAACTGGCTTCTTGTAAATGCTGCTTTGATGTCACATAAAAAAATTCAACACCTTAACAAAACCAGGGGGGGGGATTTTAATTTTAGCACGCTCTGGAGTGGCTCATTTACCTATATATTTTTTTAAACAAATCATAGTAGACAAAAGTATATTGACATGTAAAATCTTATTCCCGTCTTAGATGGGACATAGTTTTATTTATTAGGATAAATATTTATTAGAATAAATATAGTTTTACAAGTTATGATGGTAGCAGGATTTCCTTATAAACGATTCCCTTGTGCTCTATGCTACATCCTTAACTTAAAACTATAATCTTACAAAGTTTAACTGTTTTTGCTCTCACAGGTCGTATCCAACCTGATGGAAGCCATGCGCAAGTCCATGGAGGATATGACCAACTCGACGTACCTCAAGTTCAAACAGAAGAGCGGCACGCGGCTGCCGCAGACACTGTTTCTTTTTGTCACGTCCATCGCTCGGACCAACCTTGAGGTGGAGTTGGTGCAGCGAGAGGGGTCGTTGGTAACGCCAAAGAGCACCGACTGTATACCCAAGCGATCGTGTATCAGTGAGTAAAACTGATATGTTTAGTTAAGTCTTGGTGTACTATCGATTTTGTTGTCATTGAAAGGCAGAATGATTCAAATTTTGTATTATTTCATAAATTATTTTTAGTTTTCTTTAGAAAGAAGTAGAGTTATCTGAGAAAATTTAAAGTATGGGGCTGATAGATTCACGAGAAAAGGCACAAACCATTACATTGGTATTTTCTCCAATACAGGACACTTATTCAATGAGTAGATTCAAGTTAGAGGATTCAATCCCTTTTGAAAAAATGTTCAATCAGCTACTTGGCTTTCCTGTAAAATATTCCATTAAGTTGCTAATCATTTGGAAATAAGCCTAGTAATTATTGAGTCTTTTTTTATTCTTGTGGTTATGCAATTATGAAATAGGATTTTTTCACATGGGAGCAGAGTTGAAAATCAGAGATTTCTTCATGTTGGACTAAAAGATTTGTTAATCTTGTAAATTTAACCAATAAACGCAAAATGGTTCTGTAGTGTTATTAAATAGTCAATAGCTATCCAAATTTAAAAAATTCCTTTATAAACATCAAAATGTAAGTTCTACCAAGTTACACAGGACTATTGAATGCAAAGTGACAGCATATTTAAAACGTCACACCTTCACCTAGATCCCTTTGATGCCTCATTAAACCATCCAAGTAACATGAAACGTAGCTCATAAACCTCTCCAAAGTCAATACTATGTGTTGTGTGTTGCAGTGCCTTTGCTACACGTGTTGGCTGTCCACGCTCGTATGCTGGCCCACTGGCCGACCTGGGAGACGTTCAGACAGTTGTCCGGGGCCACTGAGGAGCCCCAGCAGGACTCTGCCCCTGCACTGTCTGTGGCCGGACCTCCCGTGCCTCTGCTGCTGTGTGACCCTTGCGCTCTGCTCACACAGTTCATTCTACTGCTTCCGCTGCACCTCGACCAGAGTACGTTACACAGTTTTGTGTTGTGGAGTTAAAAACATCTTTATTGCCATTTGTTTATAAATAAAATCGTTAACTTTAAACATTTATGAAACAGCTGTAACAGATTGTAATAATAATTTTTGATATGTAGAGGCATGCAAACTGTTGCATTTTCTAACAATGGTGAGCAAATTTAAATTATTTTTTGCCTTATTCATCTCTGGGTGAAGGTCTACAATGTTTAAAGTTTTGTCACAGATGAGATAAAAGTACTATTTACAATAAAATTAAAATTTATTTTATGTAACAATTTTTAAATTCAGCTTAAAACCTACTAGAAGGAATACCATCCTTCTAATTAAACATCTACCATATGTCCTTCACTTTATCCACAATCCCACCTGTTCCAACTTATCTACCATGATGGTGTTGCAGCTTACTTCTCGTGTGTGGTGAAGCTGCTGTACAACCTGCTGTACGTGCAAGTGACGGTGCAGCTGTCGTGCCTCATGTCAGAGTCACAGCGTAGTCAGTGGCGACGAAGCCCCCCGCCGGCCCCCGACACTCCTGTCAGTACACTGGATGACGCGATGGCTCTAACTATACACCTGCTGGACCACACGTCACTGTATCTCAGCGACGAGGCGCGCGACTCGCAGGAACTGCCTACTGTCGACCGCGCAGCCGTCGAAAACCAGGTTTGTACATACTCGTATTGTAGGTTGACAAATTTTGTTCATAGCAATACATCTTTCAGCTTTGAGCTGAATGTGTGTGTCATGCTGTTGTGTGGGGAACTTTCTAGTCATAGATGTAGAATCTTAATTGTAATCTTTTTGGTGAGTCAGTGGCGTCGGTAACGTCACAGACTTTGGGCCTAAGGCAGCAATGTGGTGGGTTCGGGTCCTGGTACCTACAACTACTTTAATTAGTACAGTTCGACCTTGTACTGTACTAGCTCACCCCTTGCTTTGCTGGATACGTTCCACGCACAGGCCACTGTGTCCCATGTGAACTAGCAAATGCAGAGTAAAAATGTCATTAAGAAATTCATTGGTGTGATGTTACATTCAAATATTTTTTTCAAGTTTGGAAATTTTAGAATGTCCTCTCTTAGAGTCATAGGTGGGGTTCCTTCTTGCGTCTTCTGTGGTTTCCTTAGGTGGTTTGGAGGTCGGTTGAACAGATTGTCTGTAAAGCATCTGGATTTCTTTTTTAGTTTGTGTAAAATGGTGGAGGTGGATCGATACAACTCGCCACACAAATCACATTAGGATCGATACAACTCGCCACACAAATCACATTATTAAAATTTATGTTCTGTATACTTTGCATTATTCAAATGTGGCAATCAGTTATTGTGAGTAAAACAATAATGTGTAACGAGTATACTATTATAGTTTCGTATATTCCTTGTTTCAGATTCAACAGTTATGTCTTCCATTTCTTCGCATTGCAGCGCTGTTAAGACATCATCTGTATGAGCAAGAATTGCCTAAAATTCATACAGAGTCCAGTGAATTTGTCATACTTGTTTACTATCTGGAGCTAGTTGAAGGTATGTTCACAATGTCCTTTAACTAATTAACATTTTTGTAAAAAAATCATAATCTTCTAATATTGATTGGAAAATATATTTAACTACGACCGTTTTTTAAAGTAGCCATTTCAGTCCAGTTCTTAGAATTGAAAAGTTTCACTTTACAGCTGTTTACTTTCATATCCGCATAGTTTCATTTCATATCCGCATAGTTTTATCATATCCACACAGGTAACGGACCAATGAGGTTCAAGTATTGAGAGAAAAGAATTAAAATTGTAATGCATCGAACGTCAACTATCAGCTGATCAGCTGATCAGTTGACCAATTTAATTGTTGATCCGACTTGTTCATGTTGATACTCGCGTATTCTTAATTAAGTTGGTGGAAGTCCAAAAATAAATGAAATATTTGCCGAATTGTACCTGATACAATATTATTTATGGTAAGAATGCTGCTAGCAATGTAATATTTAACGAAGTTTAACAAACACATAATTAGCTGATTATACAACAAGTCGTTGCATCACTTTCAGTGGCAATGACAATACACGAAAACATAACCTCTCTAAAAAGTTATCATTAGTGATTGTTAGTAATTAAATCCAGATTGATAGTAATTAAAAAACGGTCGTAGGTAAAGTAGTGTACGCAACTCGCGTTAATAGTCTTTACGACACTCGTAGAAGTTTTTAAGGCACTCGCCAAGGCTCGTGCCTTAAATTTTCTACTCGTGTCGTAAAGACTCACTTAACGCAATTGTTGCGTAAACTACTATTTCATAACAATGTACAAAAAAATGTATTGTGTGCCAGGCATTTATTAATGGTTTTTTTGTAAGGGAACAGTCAAAACCCTGGTCTTGTTACTATCTAATATTGACCTGTTGTTAAAAATTTCATTAATTGATGGCCCAGTGACAGATTGGATCTGGGTTTGGTAATGCCCACCACATCCAACCAGCGATTTTCAGGTTTGATGGGTTTTTCGTGTTCATTCTAACATTCTAACCTGATGTGGTCTGTTTCTGATAGTAAGAATCAGCTGTAGTCAATTATACAAGCTATTTACTCTACTTGATATTGTTGCAATCCACCTCAATCTACGGGTCCTCTATCTGTACAAAATATTTTTTCTCTCGAGCCAGCAGACTTCGTACTAAAAATCCCCCTCTAAGCAAAACTAGATTTTAATCTCCCACCCTGTACAGGTGGCATGACTCTGGAGCTGTTCAATGCAGCGGTAGCGCTCAGCTGGCCGGAGCCGACGGGCTGTCACCTGCTCGCCTGGACACGTCAGCTGTCGGAGTTCATCAACCACAACCAGGTGACAGCGAGAAGTTTCCTGTCCGAGCAACACCTGGTGTGGCATCAGCCCAGGCTGCTCAGTCTGCCAGAGCTGTACGACAAGATATTCCAGGTGAGCTACTGGTTATATTGCAATCCTTGCTAACCTGTCTATTCCCATGTTAATGTGCGATTGATAAACACATTAGGCTATGTCATAGCAAAGAAAACATGGCCGTAAAAATAAGACTGGCTTTTCAATCAACTGAATCACTGGTGGGATGTGGAAGTAGCTTTTGGGTAGATCGATCCAAGGTATCAAAATAACAAACACGTTTTTTCCAACACGTTTTACGTGTTGCAATTTTTCACACTAATGTTCAGAAAGGTGGGTAGCAAGGGGCAATTATTCAAATATTCAGGATACCAGCTATTCAACTGATATGTTGAGGAATGAGGACCCAGTTATCAGAAGGTAAATTTTCTTTTTTCTCAGGTAGGATTTGGATTATTTTAGTTTTTTTTCTGAGTGGGAATCTTGCAATAATATTGTGAATAGATATCTTTATTCCATTCATTTATGCTTATTCTGTATATTTGAATTGAATTGTATAGTTTGCACAGGCAAAAATTAAAAATCTTGCCACAACCTAAAAGCTAATCTAGTGCATTTGTTTCCTTACATATCTTAACATCATGTAGATGATCATGATAGGAAAAGATCAAGAAGTTAGTGTAAATGCAGGAGGAATAGGCTGTATGGACTACTTAAGTTGCAAGTGTTGATGTATGCTATGTGTCACAGTACTACCACCGACGGCAGTGCAGTCAGTGCCACAGCGTACCCAGGGAGACGTCGGTGTGTCTGGTGTGTGGCGCACTGGTGTGTCTCAAGGAGAACTGCTGCAAACAGCTGAACGTGTGCGAAGCTGTGCAGCACAGTGTGGACTGTGGTGCAGGCACTGCGATGTACCTGGTGGTCACCAGCAGCTACGTCATCGTCATACGGGGAAAACGAGCCTGTCTGTGGGGCAGCGTCTACCTCGACAGCTTCGGCGAGGAGGATAGAGAGCTCAAGTATGTTTACCGAATAATAAAGTTAAACAAAAAAGTTGACAGCATAATTTGTTTTATATTTCACCCCTACGAGGGGTCAAGGTTTCAGTTACCTGTTGTCTATCAATATGGTTTGTTCTAGTATAATTAACAGCTGTTTTGTGCTGAGAGAAGTGGAGCACATCATCAACTTGGAATGTCCAACTAATAATCCCTCATGGTGGAGTTTGGCAGGAGATTGAAATAACACGAAAAAGACGCCATTAAATTACACCACAATTAAATTAACACAAATCGTGCTGTACATCCTAACCTGATGTGATTAATTTCCAACAGCACGAAACAGCTGTAGTTTATTTCCGATTTTACAGACAATAGGTAGTTTAAACCTTTATTATTAGTGAGGATAGCAGGCTTGCCTGAATCGGAGTTTAAGATAAATGTTCTAGGTAGTTGAAACCTCAAAGTTATTTTATAACACATCAACCTTGATTTGTTGCCCCTACAAAGGGCTTCAGAAGAAAGAAGTAGATTGGTAGTCACTGATTTGAATAAACTAAATCAGTCATGCCAACACATCACTTTCTCTACATAACGATTCATTGTATAATGTTGTACTTTTGTCTAGTAATTACATATTACGCTGTTATAGGAGAGGTAAGCCGTTGTACCTGAGTCCAGGCAGGTATCAGTTGTTGCAACAACAATGGCTGGGACATCACTTCGACCACACGCCCAAGAAGTGGGTATGGCATCGCGACGCCCTGTAACCTACTCACTCCCTCACGATTTATACACTCGTAACCATTAAATTATCTGCGATTCACTTTCTAAAGTTCTGTTGGATTCGATCTTTATTTTCATCGTATTTTGTAACTATTTTGTACATTTGCGGGCTTCTCGCCCTTCGACTTGTTGAGTTGTTATTATCTTTACAGTTTATCTACTCTTAGGATATTTATTTTTCTGAACTGAGTTTTGTATGTTTTGTTGTTCTTTAACAGATTTTTATTTATAATGCAAACAGATTCAATCCTTAAACCTTTTCCACCCAATTTTTTGTAGGTTTTCTGTGTTAATTGGCTTACCTCTACAAAGATGAATTCCTCATAGAAAAACAAAGAAACTAATGAAAAATTGTTTTTTTTTATCACACCTTGGAAGTCTGTAAAATAGAAGGTAATCAGCCATGTTTTTCATCTTTGTACTGGTAATAGTTTTTCTTAAAAACCCTGAATTACCAATCATAGTTGCAATCGTTCATGTTTTTTCGGAATAGTTAATTAGCATTTTGATACCTTTTACTTCTCATTTCCAATTTTCCTCGTGTTCATTCTCCATGTATGTAATTTTAATTATTTATAATATTACTGTTTAAATATTTTCCTTATGCAGTGTAAGTAGAAAACTTATTCCTTTCAAACCTATATCACAATAATATACCTTCGCTATAACAACTTAATATTTAAGCTCATGTTATTGCTGAAATGCATATATTTTTATATCGGCACGAAACAGTTAATTATTGAACTCTTATACAATTTACAAAAGGTAGTAAAGTTGTAGGTTTGTTGATTCTGTAGGAAAAGAAAACTCCTAATGTCTGTGATAGTGGATACACAACTGAAGTTTGTATCCAATATGGAAAGACTATTGGTAAGCTTAACAATGAAAATGATTTGTTTATTAACTAATTATGTTTTAAGAATTAAACTTAAGTGATAGTTAAGAACCACATTAAAATTTTCACAATCATTTATATAGGATCTAAAAGAATCTTTGTAACAATTAATAATCAAATACATAGATTCGGCTTGGAGGCACTTTTACGGGGATATTTATTTCTATGTGATTTCTGATATAATGATCATTTATATTGTTGCTAAGCATGACTCTTTCAGAGTCAGCTGATGTAATATCATGTATATTATAAAGTATATAGTGGTTGGACTCGATGAGTTTATATCTTATTGTATTTAACAATTACGACTTGTAAATATATTGTACAAAGCTATTCAATCGCTTTAATAAATGATAACTTGTTGAAGCTTCGCCTAGACAAAGGCTTAATCTGCTAATTGAATGAATAAATGTTTGATATGAAATGCTTTTCTGTTTTATACAAACCCCTTAATCCCTTGTTATCCTTGTTAGACTACGGCATCGTCCTGTAATCCAGCTAATAGGAGGTCACAAACTGTGGATATTTATATACATGCAGTGCGGATACAATACTCCCTGGTGTGGATTAAGGTCCGCACAAGCGAGCACTACGATGATCCGCAGTACTATCCTGATAATTAGACCAATTTGTTAATTACAAGGCAAAAATGTGGCTCGGATTCCACTATAAACTGTAGGTCCCTTAGTTGCCATTGGCTGTATGGGCTATTAAGTAACAGCTGTGTCTAAGGAATATGTCGGCCTTAGTCACTATGAGATTGCGCTACTCATCTCCATTCATACTTGGCTTAAAATAACTGCATATCTATGGTGGCCATTTTATTATAAAGTTTATAAGTATCATTAAAAGGTTTTTATAAACAAAGTTTAATGATTGAGCCGATATAATCAGACTATGAACGTTGAATGAAGACAGATCATCCTCTAAGGGTAGCATGTCACACATTAGGAGTGTTATTGGCTAAAATACCCCAGTGAGCCATATCCTCTGAACAAATCATATAAAAAGTGACTCATTTAAAATAGAAATACCACAAAGTGGCTTGCAGGAAATTGTTCAAAATTGGACATGAAACAAAATAACATTTATTAACATTAACACAGTGTATAAGATAACAGTACAGTATAATGTAACAACAATTGGACATTTTCACGAATTTGCTTTTTGGAACTCTTTCATAAAGTCTGCCAAGGTTTGTGCCTCTTCGACAGTAACTGCGTTGTAAAGCGACGCCCGGATCCCTCCAACCAGCCTGAAACAATGTTTATATGTATAAATTGCCCTGTAACACAACGTTGTAAACATTAAATATTGCTATTTGTTTGCTTTTCAAGCGCCTACAAAATATGTTAATTAACCAAGTATTTGAAATATTTGATGCTTCAGCAAGTGCACATTGTGTGAAACAAATATCAATTTTTATTTTGTAACACAACAAAAATTATCATTTTTCCTCAAAGGTTTAATTGCCTGAGAATTAAGGATACAAAGGAAAGGATGAGGAGGCTTACCTTAAAAATTGTAGGCATCCTACTTCACTAATCTAACACAAAAAACACACAAAGGAAATACTGAATATTTTGAGGACACTGGCCCCTTTTTTAAGCCATTAATTTTTTTCCTCACAGATTTGCTTCACAAAAAAATAAGTATTTCAGAACTAATTCAATGAATCATGATTTGTTTATCCTCTGCCTAGCTCTAGACAATTTTATCAATGAACAATGTATGGGTTAGTTTTAGCTTGGAACAGGCGTTGTATTTATTGGCTTAAAACTCCTCATGGCAAAAATAAAAGAACCTGTCATACCTATGGCCTTTCAGCTGTATCATGTTCCTTTTTTTGGCCTCACTCAAAAACTTAGCCTCGAGCTCTGCTCCGGCAGCGATGCGGAACGGAATGTTGACTCTGGACCTGGCGCGAGGCTTGACGGGACACAGGTAGAAGTCTGCGGACTGTTGAATGGCGTTGTAGATCAGAGAGCTCTTCTTGGCCGAGCGAGCAGCCATCTCTTGTACTCCTCCTTGTCTCTTGATCCACTCAAACACTCTCAGCATCACAAACACCCTGAATGTTGAAAGTAATCAGAGACAGACAATAACGTAAACAAAACAAGTATTAAACTGGGATTTCTTAGGAGTGGTATGGTGAGTGTGGAGAAGCTAAGCGAGTTTTTGCTTGTCCAATGGCGGTCCATTCTGCCTCTAGGAAAACAGTACCATTGAATTACCTAAGACAAGTGGAGAGTAGACTCCGCGCTTAGTAAAACCCAGCTTAAGCTTAAGTGATTATTCTTTGGAGCCTATCAAGAACAGGTTTACCCATATGTAAACAAAAATTGTTTCCACTAATTTAGCTATTGTAAACTTAGTGAGACTACCGAATACAAGCCAGCGTTGCCCTATTGCTAGTATCATACATCTTTATATTTTAATGCAAATGAGTACTGGCAATCTTTGGAAACGCCCTTTCCTTGTCCCCAATGTGCAATGAATCATAGTTACCAATTACTCATATGAGCAATTACCAGGTGTGGTGTAGCTTGACCCTACAATTCATATATGAAGCAGCACTAACATGAATTAGAGAACTAGATTTGGCTTGATTGAAAATGTTTCTTCTAATCAATTTTAAATTTAATTCACACAGAGTCAATTCAAGCCACTTGGCAAGGATATTTTTGAATTGCATTATAGTGTGTGGCTAGTTCTTCTATCCTCTTAACATAAATTGATGATCATTACCTGGGTCTTAAAATCGTTCATGGTTGTAATGTAATTTGAAAACTTTTTTGCAAACTCCTTTAAGTGGGGAATAAGTGATTGTAAGTGGTATGTCTCATTGGTAAGACCTGGACCCAGGACCAATTCACTTTTTTTTGTTTTGATGTCTACAGAGGCCAACAATACCATCCATTCAAATTCATGTTTGGGTATGGCTTTTCCACTCTGTTTTTTTTTTTTTTTTTTTTTTCAATAATCCTAAATATTAATCCTATGTTAGTCAGTTCTCAGATGATGGAGAGTGTTCCCACACTGAGAAATGTTAGGACTGCTTACCCGAAGGTGGGAGGAGTATTGTGTAGGGAGTTGTCCTTAGTCATGACTGTGAAGTCCCATACGAGGGGAGTGATGGGGAGTGGGCTGCCGAGAAGATCTCGTCTAACTATCACCAGTACTGTGCCTGACGGACCAATGTTCTTCTGAGCCCCAGCAAACACCACACCAAACTAGGAACAAACTTGCTGGTCACATATCCACCTTCATCCAGAATGTATTAAGGTAAATTAAAGAAACAAATTAACATACTCTTGTTGTGGAAAACCCCGTCTTATCCTTGACGATTGCAAAAAATAAAAATATTCTTAAGAATAAGTGGGTGACAAAAATATATACTGTAGATGGATAGAAGACTCACAGAAAGCAATGTTCGACAAAAAATATTTTGGTGATGTATAATTTCTTTCTAATTTTTCAGGAAATAAAAACACATATCTATGTATTTATCAAACTTTTAACCTAAATGAATCTCCTTTTCAATACCTTCAAAGGTATCAGGTTGATTGCCACAGTTTGGTCATTATTTATTTTTATAGTTATCCTGCTAAAAATTTAGCTGAATAGGTAAAAAAATATTCATAGCCTTTTTAACTTTAGATCCACATTTTGTTTATGTTGCCGATACTTACCCATAATCAACGGATGAGTACCTCGGATAGTTTTTAGATATTATCTTAGATATTTATTGTTCGGTATTCAGTTTTGAAAGTTTACCTTGGTGATGTCAAAAGGCCTTGTGAGTATGTTAGATGACATGTCTGCCACGAGAGGAACTCCCTTGGTGTCTGGGATATCAGGAAACTCCAAGCCTGTTGAAAATGAATACGTTAAAAATATTAATGTTAAGGCTAATTTAATTTATCATAATGGCAGTAACAATACTGAAGAATCCGAAGCCTAAGCAGTAGTAGTTACAAGCTTTCCTCCTAAGTTGCAGCATGTGGCAAGTATAGCTTTTATCAATTTTTGTAGACTTATGCTTAAATAAATGATAGTAAGTGAATGGTTTTGTTAAGTAAATGTTTGATTGTTAATCCAGCTAGTAGGCTGAAGACATCCCATCTATATGGATCAGCTGTCGCCAATTTTTTACTAGAATGTAGTTGTGTAAGCCAGTCATAGATTGCGTTACTGTCTAAAACTCTATTTTGTACCTTATTTTTTGTTACTGACATATTTGCTGGGTCACAACAGTTGCTATAGCTCATAATAAGTCATTCCATCAGTTTGACTCGGTAAAAACCATCATGTAATCGGCAGAAATCAGTATTTTAGATCAGCGCAATCTCTAGGTGGCTCACATCAACTAAGACAAATTTTAAAACCTGCCTACAACTTTAACATGGGGGACCGTCTAGTTGTTGTATTAATAGTCAAAGCTACTACGTAGTACGTAGTGATCATCATAATCTCATTCCAATAACATTTTCAATGTGTTTTAATGCCTAATGTTAAAACCAAGAATCAGGCGACACAAAACTATTCTAACCCAACTTACCATGAACAGTTTCATTGTCGCAATAGTAGACATATGAAGCCTCTGGGTCTAAGTTCCACGATGACTGAGGAGGAACGTCAACGTAGGAGTCAGTCTTGGGCAAGACGAGGTTAACCGAGCCATACTTTGCTGCTTCTTTGGCGGCCTTGGCAGACCACGAACCTGGTAGGGAATTACGATCCATCAAAACAATAAGTTTGGTTTCAATAACTTATCTAAATGTACAATAGAAGAATCACACTTTTATCTTAAAAAACATTACCTTTTTCAAAATTTCAAATTTGTATTTGTTGACACGTAATCCACAAGTTTTCTACATGACGAATCAGTTTTGACTTCATTTTGAAGCTGAAAGATATAAATTCTATCACTAACAATAGATTAGAGGATTTAACAAAATTTGAATTTTAAGGGTTGGTCTTGAGTCTTAAAAGTTTCACACACAAAACCGATCGCCATATAGACAACTTTTGGATTATTTGGATAGAAAAGGTGACTTAACATCTTGTGAACAGCTTATTGTACAATAATTCACCTCTTCCAAATTACCTGTAACGATGTAGTCAGCCTTTCCGCTACGTGACATGAGGTTCATTGCCACTGCACAGAACAACCCAGTACCTCCTCCTTGCATGAACATTACACTGTATGTGTCGGGGATGTCTCTGTAACCCATAGGAAATCAGATTTTATTATCATAATATACCAACAAATTAAAAAAATCACAATAAAAAATCACAACACATTGTTCTTATTATTAACATCATGCTGGTTTGCAAAATCATTCAAGTTTATCCAGTCCTGCAGCACACTTCATCAAAATCAGACCAAACCTATTTGAGTTATCGACATAGGACATAACA